CCATCTTAGAAGACAGCTTTTTAAACCCCCACTTTCCCTCACCCACCCAAACCAGGGCAATTTACAAAACCAGCTCATTACAAAAAGCCATAAGAACTTCACAGAAATTAAGCTGGGCAGGCCAGGCATGGAGAAGCACTCTTTCAATTCCCTCATTTGGGAGGTAGAGGCAGGGGGATTGGGAATTCAAGGCCAGTTGGCTACAAATCAAATTTGAGGCCAGCCTGGGCTATATGAGACCCTATCTCAAAAAAAAAAAAAGAAAAAAAGCTGGGCAGTAGTGGCGCACTCCTTTAATCCCAGCACTTGGGAGGCAGAGGCAGACGGATTTCTGAGTTAGAGGCCAGCCTGGACTACAGAGTGAGTTCCAGGACAGCCAGGGCTACACAGAGAAACCCTGAATCGAAAAAAAAAAAAAAAAAAAAAAAGAGGAAGACCAAAACCAAAACAAACCAAAAAAAGCTGCCCCTCAGCCTTTTCATAGGTTAAGTAGACAGGCTTTAAACTCATCTTCCTGAGTCTGCCCAGGAAGGAGTGCCAGCATTACAGGCCTGTGCAGCTGTCCTCGGTTAGGGAATCACCAGCCTGTTGTTAAGAGCTTACATGTCACAGCTCTGCAGGACTAGAATAGCTATGGCCTAAAACCTCTTGCCGGTTTGTTTGTTTGCCTGAGGCTGGCCTTGAACTTGCTATACAGCTGCGCATGATCTTAAAACTCCTGACCATCCCTCCTCTACCTCCCAGAGGCAGCATGTACCACAGGTGTGCACCTCCACACATGTTTTTTTCTATAAAGATATTTTACAGACAGTGTCTTACAGCCACCATGCCGGAGCCACGCTGCTAAGCCTTTTTACAGCTAGGTAAACTGAGGAGAGTACAGCTAGTCAGTGGCAGAGCTAGGTGTCAGTGACCAGGAGTCTCTGACTTGGGCCCTAAAGCACATGCTCATGTACTTGGAATGATCCAGATACTCTCTCGGAAGCAGAGATTCCTAGGGCTCAGCAGGAGTATATTGAACTTTCAATGTCAAGGGCAGGACCTAAGACAGACTTTAAAAATAGTCATTCATTCATTCATTCATTGTGTGTGTGTGTGTGTGTGTGTGTGTGTGTGTGCAAGACAGAGACAGACAGACAGACAGACAGACACAGAGGGTGTATGTGTCAGAGGATGACTAGCAGGAGTTAGTTCTCTCCTCTACCATGTGGGTTCTGAGCATCAAACTCAGGTTGTCAAGACCCAGCAAAAAACTCCTTTTTCCCTGTAGAGCCATCTCACTTTTGAGCCAGGGTTGTGCTTTGTACTTCAAGGTAGGTAGCCCTGAGCTTACGATGTAGCCCAGGTTGCTCCTGCTACTTTTAACAAGTTTCCCGGGTGATGCTGATGCTCCCAGCCTGAAGCCTGGCCCTCATTAGCCTCTCTAGTAAGTGACAGAGCCCAGAGCAGAGGATATTGATGAACAGCCACCAATTCCCCTCCACCACAGATCATTCATTTAGTTTCTCGGCAGCCCAAGTACAACACAGGAAGTTCCCCGGCCTCTGACTGAACAGACAGAACAGTCTGTTCAGAGTCAGACTATACACATCACGCCCAGAGGACCCCAGACTGATCGGGGATCCCATAAGTAATCTGCTCAGACGCAGAGGAAGAGAAATGAAGTAAAGCCACAGGTGACATGGGACCTGGGTCACTTCCTCTCACATTCTTCAGCCATCCTGTGAAATCCTCACAGAGAGCATGGTGGCTGCCCAGCACTCGGGAGGCAGGCAGCTATCTGAGTTCAAGGCCGGCCTGGTCTAAAAAGCAAATTCCAGGACAGCTACATAGAGAAACTGTGTCTCAACCCCTACCCCCAAAAGGGGCGGGGTTAATAAGAGGAAGGTTTCAACAACTGTCATTCCAGAGGGGTAGCTATGTCTCAATCTCCTCTTTGGGTTGTTTCCTTTGAGAATGTACCAGGCAAGCTCGTGGCTTGAAGTCTCTGGCTGGTGAGCAGAAGTCCAGCTCAGTAATAAGGTCACAGTCAGAGGATAGGTTTCAGACACGCAGAGCTCTCCCGCCTTGTCTCCAGGGTCACAGACAGGACCCCCAAATCCCACCACCTGGCTATAAAAGGAAGCAGCCAGGGTGCCGAAAGATCAAAACAAGTCCAATGTCACTCCTGGAAACAGCCAGTTGGGGAAAGAGTGATGAATGAGGAGGATTGGTGGCACCCTGGAATTAAAGGACATCCCACCAGAAGGGACCCCACAGCACCTAATCAGTTCCAGAAATGGGCTTTGTTCTCCCAAAGGGAGGTGGGGGATCAAAGCGTTTCTCGCTGTTCACCCTTGAGCATTAATTACTTGTAGGGTAACCAGACCCAGAGCAGACCCTGCTCCCTCCCTTACATCCTGGTGGCCTCAGTGAGCACCTTTGATCTTTCAACCCCACAGGCATCAAATCGGAAGGGAGTTTGACTCCTGGGAACCCAGAGACCCGGTGTGGCCCAGGCAGCCAGTCATTCAGCCATCTCTTCCTTTCCTGTTAACTTTTTAACCCTACCCGCCAGGAAACGCTCAACCGTGGTGCTGCCCTCCTCCACACTTCACTGGGTTCTCACAGAAAGGCCTGACAGAAACAGGCTCATAAGCTGTGTGGCCTGAGGCACATGGTACACCTCTCTGAGCTCACCACCTCGGAGCACCCACCGCTTAACTTTTGTGTGCAGAGACACAAAAGACCAAAACATACATTATTTTTATATAATTAAAAATGACTGGCCCAGTGTGACGACTCACTTACATAATAATCCTGGCACTTGGGAGGCTACAGTAGAGACCCTTACTTTGTTATTGAGAGCCACATGACCCCAGGCCCAGCTAGTAGCTTCAGGTCACTGTCTATAAGAGTTTGTTGACTGACACATGGACCATGTTCTGTAATCCTACACATTCCTACCAAGTGGGCCAGATCTCAGTTTTTGCTATCCTAGGCTTTGGGAAATTCAATAACCCCAAATAATGGATGACCTCTCTCGCCCAAGCAATCCCACATTTAGAAATAGATGTTTGGGTAAAAAAAAAAAAAAAAAAAAAAAAAAATCAAACAATGTGAAAAGAAACATCAGTAACAGTGCTATTTGACAGAGATACAGGATGAATGAGCCACGGATGTACTTCTGAGTTTTCTCCTTCTAGTACTAGAGACTGAACCTCGAACTCACTATCACTGAGCTATATCTGCAGCTGATTTTTTGCTTTGTTTTTGTGACTCAGAGTCCTATGTAGCCCAGGCTAGCCCCAAATGTGCTACGTGACAGAGGCTGGCCTCAAATCCTTAATCCTCCTGCCTCAACTTCCCAAATGCTGAGATAATAGGTTTATATCACCACACATATAGCACATGCCTGTAATTCTGACTGAGCAGGGAGACTGAGGCAGGAAGAGCTCTGAGTTTGAGGCCAGCAGGGATTAGTAAACTCTAGATTAGCCTGGTCAAACACACATACAAAATTCCCCTTAAGGTTGGGCATGGTGGTGCACACTTTTAATCCCTGCACTTGGGAGGCTGAGGCAGGAGGATGTCCGTGAGTTTGAGGCCAGCCTGCTCTACAAAAGGAGTTCCAGGAGAAACTCTTTGTCTTGAAAAACCAAAAATAAAATTTAAATTTAAAAAATCCCCTTAAAAATAATCCAGTTAAACTGTTATCGCTGAGAAACTGTCATTTCAATTAGGTTGCTAGACTTATCAACTGAAAGCCCAGTGCACCTAAATTAGATCTCAGATGGGTATGATGGTCAGACACAAATGTGTATCCTATAATACTGGGGACACACCCACATAGAGAATTTACTTGCTGTTCATCTGATATTTAAATTTTACTGGGCATTTTTTTTGGTACAACCAGGCCACACTAATTAAAATAGTATAAAATATGAAAATTAATAAGGTAGCTTACATCTTTCTTGTGCTGTCTCTGAAACCTGCTGTATATTTTACACACACAACACTTTCAATGTGGACAAGCATGCTTCAAATGGCTGTCCCTGTTGACAGTGCCTATAGATTCACAAAGTTCTTCTCAGTGTCATTTATAATAGAAGAAAAAAAAAGTCAAAAATAGGCAAAACACCTACTGGGGCTAATTCATAACAATATTTTTTTAGAGAAGAAAGCCAGGATTTTGTGTATGCTAAGCAGGAGCTCTACCATTGAGCTATACCCCGAGCTCAGATAATTCTCCTTTTTTTGGCTTGCATTTGGCGATCCGACTCTAACACGGAGTCTTTCTTGTGACGTGCCAAACGTTCTGCCACTGGGCTAAATCTTCAGATTTTCGTAGCAAAATTACAATCATGAAGCACCAGCGAAAATAATGTCAGGGTTAGGGGTCGCCATGACTTGGGGAACTGCATTAAAGGGTCGTAGCGTTAGGAAGGTTGAGAACCGCTGATTTAGAAGGTGCCGACCGCAGGCACCTTGTTCTGAAGGCTTTGCATGCATAAAAATCACACTGGGGCCTCAGAACCATTCCGAGGTGCTGGTCTAAAACAAATGAGGAAATGTATATGACACATGACTTGTGTCTAACCGCTGCAGCGGAGTGCAGGTCGAGGGAAGGCGCGGGAAGCCGGGCTTGGTGGCTTGAGATCTTCCTGCCGGTCTCAGGAGCCCCAGTTTAGACATTTTTATGTTAAACGCTGATTAGTTTTATGAAAAGAAGTCACTCTGAAAGGGAGGGAAAGAATTCCTTTGAGGGAAATCGGAGGGAGAGACAGGATGAGACAGAGCGAATCTCACGCCTTAATTTCACAGGCGGCCACCAGGGGCCACTGGCTGCAGTTTGCTTCGCTGGTAAACCGAGCCCTTTAAAAAGGAAAGCATTTGCAGGGAACAGCGCCCTCTCCAGGAGCCAGGGTGGAACAGCTCCCATCCTCAAGGACCCCAACCCTGAAGGATGGGTAGTAGGCAGCTGGGAAGTGGTGTTCCACCATGAGCAAACTGTGTCTTACCTTTGGAGTTTTCTTTGGCCAACTGACCACGGGGACCCCGGTGATGGCCAGGCTGGGGTCGTCATCCACATGTTCCTTCAGTACATTCTGTGGCCAAACAAAGGATCCATATTAACTGAGGGTGAAGGAAAGATCCCTAAAGGAGGCCAAACTAACCCCTTGAAGAATCACAAGCTCTCAAAAGAAAGAAAGAAAGAAAGAAAGAAAGAAAGAAAGAAAGAAAGAAAAAAAAGAAAAGAAACAAAGAGGAAAAGAAAACAAACAAAACCAGCAAGTCTCCTATGGACTAACAACATACACCATCCATCCCTCTTTCGAAAAATGTTTTTTTGGTTTTTTCGAGACAGGGTTTCTCTATGTAGTCCTGGCTGTCCTGGAGCTCACTCTGTAGACCAGGCTGGCCTCGAACTCAGAAATCCGCCTGCCTCTACCTCCCAAGTGCTGGGATTAAAGGCGTGTGCCACGCAGGCAGAATCTCTTAATAAAAAAAAAAAACACATAGCTTGCGGTTTTGAGGCTAGGCAGGCCACCAGCAAGCCCAAGAGAACCTCCCGTCCCCGCCCACCGGAGTTGGGATTACTGGCATGCGCAGAACCGCAGCCAGCTTTGACGACATGGTGCTGGGATCTTGTGCTTGGACAGCAAATTTTTTATTTTTAAGAGAGGGTTTCTCTCTGTAGCCCTGGCTGTCCTGCAACTCTCTCTGTAGACCAGGCTGAACTCAAAGATCTGCCTGCCTCTGCCTCCAGATTTGGTAATAAAGACGTCCATTGCCGGGCGGTGGTGGCGCACGCCTTTAATCAGTGGAGTGCTTCTTACAGAGGAATGTGGTTCTAAAGTCACCATTCAAAAAGCCAGAATCTGGTAAGATTCCAGATCCCCCTTTAGAAACCAGCCAGTTGCTCACAAAGCAACAAACACCTTGTGGTATGTCGGCATCTCAACCTAATATACCCAACACACAACTGATTTTTCTGCCAACGTTTAGCCAGATGGTCAGCTAAAAGCATTCTTTTGGTGACATTTTAAGAACACTGCCAATCATAGAGGGACATTTAATGGGGACCACACAAGAGCTTAAAGAGTAAATACAGCTAATGATTATTTTACTTTTTTTTTTTTTTTTTTTTGGTTTTTCGAGACAGGGTTTCTCTGTGTAGCCCTGGCTGTCCTGGAACTCACTCTGTAGACCAGGCTGGCCTCAAACTCAGAAATCTGCCTGCCTCTGCTTCCCAAGTGCTGGGATTAAAGGCGTGCGCCACCACCGCCTGGCTGGTGTTATGGTTTAAATGGACAATGTCTCCTGCAAGCTCATGCACACCAACACTCTGTCCCCAGCTGGTGGCAGTTTGGGAGATGAGAGAATCCTTTAGACACAGAAGCCGCTGTGGCAGAGAGATGGGGTGAGACTGGAGGGTTAGAGGTAAGCACGGTTTCCTGCCTGAGCTCTCTCTCAGTCCTGTCTGTTGCCAAGACACAACAAGTTGAGTTAGAGCCTCTGCCACCATGCCTTCCCTGCCGCTGTGGATGAGTCTCTGAAACTGTAAGCAAGATGTTGCTTCTGACAGATACTTTGTCCAAGCATAAGAAAAGTGACTGACACACTGTTGTATACCCTATGTTGTCTAACCCAAGCCCCTGAACGAACAATGACTACAGAAAACTTCCAGCGGATAAAACTCAAGACATAAAGCTCCATGACCCCAAAGGACATGCTACAAGACACCTGACCAGGTCCTCCCCCAAACCACCAAAAATCATTAAACAAACAAACAAACAAAAAACCCCAAAACCAACCAAACAAACAAAACAAAAAACCCCACCTCAAATCAGGGGAAGTCTGAAAAAACTGGCCAACCAAGGGGAAAAAAAAAAACCTGAGAAGAAAATTGAATGTAATGTTGCATCAGGCACAAAATCCCGGAAGACAAAAGGTAAATATTGAGGAAATCTAAAGAAGTAACAAAATCTTAGTTTTAATAAGTGTGCCAAATGTACTGTGCTAAGACGTTAACATACTTGCGCTGTTTTATTTTTGTGAATTTTCCATAAACCTAAAACTGTTCTTGCTGGGTGAAATGGCAAACACCTTTAATCCTAGCACTTGGGAGGTAGACCCAGGGAGCTCTCGAGGAGTTTGAGACCAGTCTGGTCTACAAAATGAATTCTAGCCAGAATTACTTGGTGAGGTCCTTTCTCAACAAATGAACAACCATACATTTAAAAAAGCAAAAAAATTAAATAAATAAAAATCTAAAAAAATAAGGCACTAATCAAACTGCTTTCTTATTTAAAAACATGACTGCGCAACTCTGGCTGGCCTTGAACTCAGAAATCTACTTGCTTCTGCATACCATTATTATTATTATTTTCTTTTTGGTTTTCTTTTCTTTTCTTTTCTTTTTTTTAGTTTTTTCAAGACAGGGTTTCTCTGTGTAGCCCTGGCTGTCCTGGAACTCACTCTGTAGACCAGGCTGGCCTCGAACTCAGAAATACGCCTGCCTCTGCCTTCCAAGTGCTGGGATTAAAGGCGTGTGCCACCACTGCCCGGCTCTTTTTGGTTTTCAAGACAAGTTTCTGGCTATCCAGGAACTCTGTAGACCAGGCTGGCCTCAAACTAGCTGAGATCCACTTGCCTTTGTTTCTCAAGAGCTGGAATTAAAGGCATGAACCACCATGCCCTGCTTCTTTTTGTTGTTGTTGTTTTGTTTTTGTTTTTGTTTTTTTTTCGAGACAGGATTTCTCTGTGTAGCCCTGGCTGTCCTGGAACTCACTCTGTAGACCAGGCTAGCCTCGAACTCTCGAACTCAGAGATTCACCTGCCTCTGCCTCCCAGTGCTGGGATTAAAGGCGGGCACCTCTACCGCCCGGCCATGCCCTGCTTCTTTTTGTTTTTTAAATTAAACACATTAGTTTTAAAGTTTTCCCAAGGTTCCCTTGTAGCCTAGACCTTACTTACTAAACAATGCCAAGTTCCCTCCTGTGTATAGCACTCAGTGGCCACTAGGGGGCACAGTGGCCCGTCTTTCTGGGACGTATTTTCATTTGTAAAGACGAAATTTTAGGGGAGGCGTAGCCTAATGAGATTTTTGTCTCAGAAAAAAAAAATGTGCCGGAGGGAATGACATCACGGGATTCCTTAGGCTCTGCCTGAATTTATGCATTCTCTGGGACCGTCGAGCACACTAACAGAATGAAGGCTGTGTGTTCACAGTGTCCCAGCCCTCTCAGGGTGACACCGTGTAAGCCCGTGGTTCTCTCCAGCCCAGAACAGGCTTTCTGCTCCAACCGGACTCTTGCTGCTGGAACCTGCCCGACGTGTGACATATCAAAGGAACCTCGCCTCCCCATCATGCCAAATTCTCTCAAAGAATTTAATTTGTTAACAAGAGGTTTGGCCTCCATTGCTCCTCAGGGTGGGGTGTTAATCACTGGAAGCCCCGTCTATGCGGTGACTAAAAATACCAGCACTAACAAGGCAGTGCCTGGCATTCGGATTGCAGCTCTGACAGCGGGGGTTTATGGAGGGGAATGTAACAAGGCCAGAGCTACGGCTCTGGGGAACACCTGTGACAGTTTATTTGGGTCTCCGAAACCCTCTCCCTATTCCATCTGAAGAACAGTGTTTAAGTCTTAACTCTAAATTCCAATGTATGCGAATGGAAACTTCCAATCTTATGTGGGAAAGAGGTCTCTCCCAAGGTGAATCCTAAATCCTGTGGTTAACCTATAGTTACCAGGCCTGGGCTTGCCTGGATACCTGACACTGAGCTCTTCCCCCAGCCTCTGCACTCCTTCATTCTCCTGAGGTTACACAGGCAGGGGACACAAGATACAGGGCTCCTTCTGTGGTCACACTGGAAGCCAGCGCCCTGGGCGCTCACTTCCTGCCTTTTAGCTCCTCTGAAAAGGCCCCTTTGAAGTAGGCAAGAAGGTGATGGTTTGACCAAGTCATGAGGGCTGGAGAAGGAGACTCTGTGATGGAGGACAAGCAACAAGCCCAAGGTCCTGGGCCCAACTCTAAGCAAAACACACACACACACACACACACACACACACACACACACACACACACA